GAGCTCACACTGGCTCCCAGGGCCCTTTCTGAGTTCCAGAAGCTTTGGCTCCTGTTGTCTGCTGGACTTGAGTTTTCCTTGAGCTTCTCAGCTTCCTGAGTGGTGGCCCAGAAAGGGAATGGGATGCTGAGATGGCCCCAGGGCTCCAGGCTGAAGCATCCAGTCCCTCGAGTCCTGGGAGGTTCGTGCGTCACTGCTGGTGAAATCCCCATCCAGGAAGGGCTGGGAGAGGCAGGGATCATCCCAAACAAAAACAAGCCACCGGATGGGCTGCCAGTATTGCAAAAGGACATTTCACCTGCCTTGTCCTCCTCAGCCTTGCAAGCTGACTGCACGGCAGCTGCCCGCTCGGCCAAGGTGGCTCAAGGCTGCTGGGGCTGGGGACAAGCGCCTCGCCAGGCTCAGGGACCACAACAGCACAGAGATCCATGCCAGCTCTCCGGCTGTGACATCACAGTGGAATGTGACGTCACAGTCCCAGTTCAATGACATCACTCCTTCTAATCTCCATGTCACACAGCTCTCGGTGGTGACATCACAAAGCAGGCTGGGCTGCAGCATGTTTCCCTGGGTGTTGACATGAGGTTCTGGGACAGAGGCACGTGGCTGTAGGGGTGACGGTGCCTGGCACTGGGGTGCAGCACCTCAGTCCGGGACACACAGACAGGCGCAGGGAGAGGGGACAGCAGTGATGGACCTCAGTAGGGACGAAAGCTTCATCTGAGATGGGTCGCAACTGCTCCTCATCCTTGACGTGGGCACGGCAAGCAGAGCCCGGGGAGGCTGGGGGAGATGTCACAGCCACCCTCCCCACCCAGGGAGCCTGAATTCGGCACCATCCCCACCGGCCCGAGCGCACAGCCAGCACAGTGGGGGGATCGGAGCGGGGATGAGCTCGCCTGGCTTTGCCTGTCCGGCTGCACGTGGGCTGTGCGGGGGCACCCAGCGCCTGCCCGAGAAGGGGCTGATTCACACAGGGTGCTGGAAGCCGGGCTGCCGTGGGAAAGCGCAGCCGCCATGGCTCCCGAGCGGCGGGATTGCTTCAGCGGGGGTGCAGCCAAGATCCATTTCACAGAGGGCAGAGCAGATCTAGGCTGGGATTTACCAGTGACTAAGCGTGTGCTGGCAAGGGCTGCCCTAGCGTGAGAAAGGCAGTGCTGCTCCTCCTCCGAGGTGTGCCCGCTGCCGCCCTGCGACCCGCAGCGCTCGGGGGCACCGGGGCACCCCGCTGTGCCATGGGAACACGGGTCTCAGTGGACCAGGCAGGGCTATGGGGTCTGCAGGAGCGGCAGCTCTGGCCCCCTCCTCACGAGCTGAACTCACCCCTTTTCTCCCTCATGGCCCAGCACTTACTCTGGCCACGTGAACGGGCAGGATGCTGCGAGCAGAGACCCTGCGGCTCAGCCCGCTTGGCACATCATCCTCAGGGCAGGGCTGGGATGCAGGGTAGAAGCTGCCACCCCCACTCCGAGCCAGGCACAGGTGCTGGGGAGACCCTGAGATGTTGTGGAGGAGAAACCGAACCCTTCGCTGTCGAGTCGTAGCCCCTGCTTGCAGCAGTTGCACCCCTCAGGCAGTGTTCCGGGGTGCTGCCATCTCCTGCTGTCTCACTGCAATGAAGATTCTTACCCTTACATCCACCCCACTTCGTGGGGGCCATCACTAATCCCACCAGGATGGATTTGGGGAAACCAAACCTTCCCAAGGAGGAACAACCCATCGCTTCCCCAGCAGAGAGGCTCCCCTATTCCCTACCCTTAAAACAAAAGCAAGACCCCCACAAAAAAATTGCTCCACATCCCTGAACCGTGAAACTGAGACACAGAAGGCTGTGGGGAGCCATGTCCTCAGGCAGGGGCCGAACATCGAGCTCAAGGCGACCACCAGCCCCTGCACAGCAACCACGCAGCTCAGCCCTATCAAGGTGGCAGGCTGCCCTGCTCGCTTCATCTCTTCTGGCTCATTTGGCAAGGCATTAAAAAAAATTAATTGCAATTTTTTTATTACAGCTAATTGGCGCTGCTGCTAAGTGGCTTATCTGGCTTCTGAGCCTGCCCCGTGTTTTTGGGAAGGTGGGGGTGGAGAAGGCCTGGAGGCTGGGGAGATGGCGTGGGGCACAGAGCCCTGCAGCAAGCATCTGGCAGCCCCGGGCAAGTGGGGAATGCTGGGCTACCTCCGGGCCGTGGGGGGCATACCTGGCACAGGGAGATGGATTGCCCCTAGTTGACAATGATGGTGAATTTTAGAGAAGCAGAGAAAATTGCCTGAGGTCACTTCATGCACCCAAGTGGGACCAGGAGGCCGTGCCCAGCACGCTGGCACAGCTGTCCAAACACTTTGTTGTGCTTCCAAACTGCCACGGCTGGGCGTTAAGGTGGATTTGGTGTTTGTGAGGGAGGAAGACAATCTAGTGCTCACACAGGTGCATGTCTGTGCATGGCAGGGAGGGCTGGAGAGGAGGGTGCTTGTTTGCCCCTTGGGCCCCCGCTGTACCCATCCTGGGTGGCAGCTTAGTGGCCTGGTAGTTTGGGATCCTCTCTGGGAGCCTCTGACACCCTGGCGCTGCCACTGTGCCCAGGAGGTGCCACCCCACATCTCTCCCACTGCCAGGCTTAACACCCTCCTCCAGTGTGCAGCCCCCTCCCCTGTTGTCACTGTCATGGGGGTCAGGGCCAGCCCGGGCAGAGCGTGGCACATGTCCCTGGGAGCTGCCCATCACCTCTGCCTGCCCACTGCGCTCCCACAGATCCCAGCAGACACCCTGTGAGCCACACAAGGGCTTTGGATGCCTGCCGGGGTGGTGACACCCGTGGCTCCAGCTCCAGCCTGTGCAGGCTGGGATGCCCACCATCCTGACAGGGACCATCCCGTCCTGCAGCATCGGCACTGACCACCAGCAGAGCTGGCAGGGGCCAGAGCATGGCTCTGCTGGGCAGTGGCACTGGGGGCTGTTCCACGGCTGTGGGTGACATCCACCCTAAAAGGAAGGTCCCATCTGTCTCCTTCCCTGCTCATCCCTGGATCCGTTCATGCTGCTTTTTCTCAGACACATTTCAGGATGGATCTGGCTCAGCTGATGATGGGCTGCTGCCGCAGGCACAGCTGAGCCAGTGCAGAGCCAGGGGAGGGGGAAGTGAAGGTATGAAAAGGAGCCAGTAAGCTCCAGTCCTCATTAGTCCAGACAGCTGAGGAGATCAGATCAGATGGTATCAAGTGGCCTCCGCAGGTTGCAGTGTCACCCTCCCTCATGTGAGCCTGGCAGTGAACTCCAAAGTGGCATCTCCTTTCTGATCAGATAACCCCAATGGCCCATCTGGTTCTGCAGAAATTCAGGTTCACTCAAATAAGATCATCTTTCTGCTTCACTGTGGTTTCACCCCGTTTCATTTCCCCGGGTACCTGGGTTTGAACACGAGAGCGAGGAGGGAGCTTTGCCTTGCTCAGGGCAGGGAGGGCACGCTCAGCTCCCTGTGGCATCAGCACTTGCAGCTCAGTGTGAGTGAGGAGAGGGTGGACTGGTGACCCGGAGCAGTGCGGAGAGGTCTGACTCACATCTGCACAAGTAGGAGTTGTAGTCGTCTGACGCTTGCTGTGCAAATCAGGGGATTGCTGCAAAATTCCCTTTTAAAAGTGATGCAGCGGCTTCCATGTCATTTGGGTGCTTTCAAGATCACACCTTGTTCATCTCTGTCTGTGCTGCTGCTCCACGGTGCTGGGGCAGCGGCAGCTTTGGGAACCCAAGCCTGGTCATTCTTATACGGACAAATCATCTCTGGGCTGGGGAGTGTGTGTGCTGGTTTTGTGGAGACTGCCAGTGGAAATAACCTTCTCCTGCTATGGGGCAGAACTGGGACATGGTGACGAGCTCATTTTCAAACAAATCATCCTCCCCCCGTCCTCCTTCAGGCAGCTGTGTGGGAAGAAGGGGCATCGTTGCACCTCGCTGTGAACCCAGCGCCGCCCCAGCTAGCACGCCACAAACCAGCAGAGCTGCCGCAGGCCCATGTTGGTGCCCAGTCAGGAGGTGGAAAAACCTTTCTGGTTTCAACAGGCTTTGGAGCAAAGCCCCAGGCAGGGAACTTGTTCTGGTCGGTGAAGTTATGCACCTCTCTCCCTGCTTGCCTTGGGTGCAGCGTGCTTGAAATGCTCCGCAAGCAGAAAACAGCCCCTAAAAGCAAATAGCTGATGAAAGGTGTTGTGGCACATCCCAGCACCCAGCTCCCATCCAAGCAGGGAGGGGGAGAGAAGAGCGAAGCTGTCAGGGAGCCGGCTGCGATGGTCCCAGGGAGATTTAGTGCTAATTACTTCTGGGTGAGCGTGTTGGGCTGCCGGCTGTGCCCTGGGCTCAGCCCGAGGCACCCGGCTGCGGGTGCTCCTTGGCAGTGGGGTTTGGGGAGCTCCTTGAGGGGTTTGGCTCCCTAGGGGCCAGCACCTGGCACGTGCAGGCCCTCAGACACCTCTCTGGGTGTGTTTTGGCAAACCAAAGGTGGGATAGATAATGTGACTCTGCACTCGCAGTGAGGCAGCAGAGCCGGGTCAAGTGGAGCCAGCCAAGACTCCAGCATGTCTTGAGGTCTGCAGCCGTACTCCACAGCCCATGAGACAAGAGAAAACAAATCTTGAAGCCACAGCTCAAACTTGGGGTGTCTGCTTGATGTTTTAAGGCAACCTCGGTGGCTGGTGTTTTCTGGCATCATGTAGTGCCAGGAATCATGTAGGACTGCCAGGGGCGGACAGCGGTACTGGCAGCCTGGCATGAAGATGTGGCTACGCACTGTAAAGATGGAGTACCTCTGGAGAGGAGGTTCTTGCGGCCCCTGAACCCCAAAATTTGTGCCTGATGCCATTCTGCCACCCCACCTTGGTGGGACAGGCCTTACCCCAGTTTCCCCCTGCCATGATGCATGTGACTGGGGGGTGCCTGTGTACTCCAGGCAGGGAGGAGACGCCTGAGGAGCACGGCTGCCATCTCACCAACCTCCCCCTCTCTCTTCTTCCAGGTGTGCAACTGCGACAAGTACCTGAAGGTCTCGAGGGAGAGGATGAGGCAGCTGGTGGAGGGCAGCAGGCAGGCTCCCAGAAACAGCAGCACAGGTAAGCAGTGGGCGTGGATGGCCAGGAGTCATGCTCCGAGCCTGGCCCTCTCCTGGTGCTCCTGCCTGGGACTCACTGTCCTGGACAGAGTGGGACTGTCCCACTAGGACTGGGGGTCTCTCAGAGTGGGAATGTGGTTCCCTGCCACCAACCTGCCACTGGGCACAGACCCACAGAGCTCTGCCAAGCCCATTTTGTGCCCGGTTAAGCTTGTGCACGCCAAGCACAGCTCCCTAGCCCTCTACCCCAGCTGCCCCATGCTGCTCTGCAAGGCACTGGGTCGTGCATGGGATTGCCCAGCCCGGGATGGTTTGGTGACATGCCAGCAGTGGCTCAAGTGACAACCTAAGGCCATCGCTGCCTGATGTGGAAGACTCAGCCTGGGCTGCAAAATGCCTCCTGGCTGGTGCTGCTAATGGTGCCTTTCTCACCTGCACGGTGCCTCTTAAACTAGGTCAGGCTGCAGGAGGAGTGAGTCAGTGCCGCCTGCCCGGCAGGGCTCCAGCGGGCTCGGCGAGGGGAAGGCTCCTCCATGCCCTGCCTTGAGCTGAATTGCCCCCACCCCCCCGCAGGGAGCCGTGTTTTGGGGGTGAGTGACACCCACTGCGGGCACACCAGGATGGAAATGTGCCCCTCTTGCTGCTCCGACCCAACCTGGGCTCTGCTGTTGGCCGTCATGTGCATCGCTTGCTGTGCCTCAGTTTCCCCATCTGCTTGATAGGAGAGAGCAGTGTGAAATGGTGGCTGCCGGGCACTCCCCAAAGGCTGTGGCTTTGATAGGAACCACATGTGTGGCTCTGGGGACAAGGGACATGGTGGCTTTTCCCATGGTGCCAGCAGCCTGGGAGCACTGCACTTCCCGAAAGGCCAGGGTACCCTCCCCAGTGGTTTCTCTGGTGAGGGCACTCGCTGTGTGTGTACCCAGTGACCAGCCAGGCCTGTTCAGCCAGTTTTAGAGTATGGGAAATTGAAAAGCTGTGGTTTGCGTTCAGCCATGTGAGCGGTTTCCCCTGCCCTCTTTGGGACGGGGATGATGGAGCGAGGAGGGTCTCACATGTTGCTGTTACTTCTCCGCACAGACTCTTCAGGGACCCCCCTTGGTCCCTTACACCATGTCCGCAACACCCCGTGTCCCCATCGTGCCATCCAGCCTCTTGATAGGTCTGCCGTTTCCCTGGGGGGGTTCATGGGGAAGGTCCCCTGTCTGCTGGGCCGGGTGGGAGCCCTGTGCCAGCCACGTCAGGCATGAACTTGTCGGGCAGCATCCTCTGATACAGAGCGGTCAGGGACTGAAGGTGCCACAACATCCTCCAGAGGGTCGGTGTTTTGCTGCAACGGAGACATAAACATAGAAGCTGTGATTCCTGGGCAGGTGGGCACAGCTGGGCAGGTGGCTCCCAACCTGCAGTGAAGACCCTTGGGGACTTGCCAGCGGGGTCCTCTGTGCCCTGGGGCTCCAACCACCCTGGGTTTTCCATGGGATGGGCGGCTAGAGAAGTGAATTTGTAAGGAAAATCTCGGTTGTTCCCTGATTTCCTTCACATGTTCCTTCTGGAGGGGGCTGGTGGCAGGGACTTGCTCTGCCTGTGGCCCAGCACATGATGTGGGGAGCTCAGCACCCACAGCCCCCAGCTGCTCACCCACACTGGGACTAGCCTTTGCTCCATGACTCCAGGCCCAACCATGTCATCTCATTCATGCCACTGTGCATTGATTAACCCTCAGGACCATGGCCAGATGCTGCTGCTTGGCAAGAAAATACATTTGACTTGCCCCTGCTTCCCAGGCAAGGGGGGAAGCCTCCTCCCACGGGGCTTCACCTCCTCGGGGAGGAGCAGGCAGGTGTAGCAGGAGCCACGGGTGCTGGGACACCTGTCAGCTGTGGATGGGGACGGATCCTGCAGGACCAACCCTCAACATCAGCCTGCGGCTGCCCAGGTGCTCCCGAGTCCCGGGGTCTGGCTGCAGGCAGCCCGGGGCTGCTCATGTTTTTGCTACAAAACTCAGGCCAGTGCTGCCCTGTTGGGCTCCGGATTTTTTTATGGCAGGGCTTCCAAGAAACGAAAGGCAAATTATTCATTCTGTAATAGCTCACTCCAACTTGGACCTAGGACTTTCCCAGGTTTTAGGGAACATTTTCCCTGACACAGCCACATTTTCCCTGGATGAGGACTTTGATGGAAGTGCTGGCAATAGTTTAAAGCCTGGACAGCTTTGCCCCATGCTGCCTTTTTCCCAGTGGGCAGCTTGGGTGCCTGGAGCAGACAAGGGATGGGGCAGAGAGAGGCAGCAGCGCTGCAGGCAACCACGTGGCGTAAGACAAGACCTGGCTGGAGGCCACTGGCAGTTTGCAGGCTCCCAAATGACCCACGGGGATGAGATGTGTCACAGGCTCTCATCTGGCGGGGGGGTAGGTTCTTGCTTAGTCAGTGTGGCAAAACCAGCTGGCAGAGGGCCCCCAGTGCTCAGAGGATGCTCTGTCAGATGAAATATGGTCCCTGGGAAAGGTGAGGATGGAGCACATTTGATCTGGTTAGGATTCACCAAACAGAAAAGGCTGCTTTAATCACAAAATCGCCCCTTGCCATTTGAAACATTTTGCAAAACACTAAAACAACTGGTCGTGCTTTTCTTTGGGCGGTGCTGCTAACCAGGCATGTCAGAGCCTCCACTCTGTGCTGGAGAGAGGCAAAGGAGCAGGCACAGCTGCCGGGGGTGATGGAGGAGCCTGACGCAGCACCCTGGGGAGCCCCAAGCTGGGTGAGCATCCTCCCCGACCAGCCACCAAAGCCGGTACTCGAGACCAGCGAGATCTGCACTATCCATCTCCTCCTCCAATCCCACCGGTGCAGGATAAGCCCCGGGCAGCCCCGTGGGTGGCTGGAGGAGCAGCCAGGACGTCCCCACGCTGGGCAGCAGGATGGCGTGGAGCTGGCAGGGCTCTGAGCAGCCCGGCTGGGCCACCTGCCTTGCCCCCTCTGACCTGAGCAGTGACTTGGGGTTTCTTTCTTTTCCGGCCCTTGGCTCCTCCGTGAGCCCCGGGGGAAGGCGGCAGCAGCAGCACATGGGCAGGCAGGAGGAAGAGCTGCAAGACCACAGTGCGAGGAAGGCTGTGCTGTGGCTGCAAGCTGGGGTGACACCAGTACAGTGCCAAGTCCCTCCTCTGCAGCCACCTCACCGAGATGGCTGGGGGCATGGGCTGGTGAGCCCTGCTTCCCTTAGCCAGGGGCTCTTATGTACAGCAGATGCGTGTCCAAAGCCTTAAGGCTGAATGCAGGGTTTTTTTCCTGCCATACTTCCCTGATCTGCAGCATTTGGCTTTGCTGTGAGCTTCACACTCATCTTATTGCCATGTGAGAAGGGTGGGTGATCCCCGTGCTGTCCCAGGAGTACTCTCACACCCATGGAGCAGCCTATGCATCCTCACTGCTTTGGCAGCAGACCAGGCATGCGGGAGAAGCCAAGGCACCCCAGATGTCTCAGGCTGCTCTGGATGTTTCTGCAGGCAAGGAGATGGGTGCCCAAGGGACTGCACCCATGGACCCAGGGATTCCCCAGCCCCATTCACCCTCAGAGTAGGCAACCCCATGCATCTAGGCTCCCTTCCTTCTGGGGAGCAGCAGGGTAATGGGAGCATGCTCGCATCTGTCCCTGAATGGGCAGGGATGGGGACCAAGGTGCTGCAGCACAGGGCTGGGACCAGGGGCTGCAGTGGTGAAATCAGCCAGAAACACCCCGTGGGCTCAGCTGGGTCACGCTCTGCCAGCTCCCCCTCTTCAGAAGAATTTCATTTGCTCATATGAAAAACCACTGGCAGGCTGTGAAGCTGGTGACATTTTCATGGCTGTGGGTTTGCAGAGCTCTGCGTGTACCTGCTGACGGGGGTGTTGTGCCAAATGCTACCCGAGAAGGATCTAGGAACCACTCAGTGCTTCTGTCCGACGCTGGGCACAGGAGCCAGCAGGGTTTTCTCCCACAGCGGCACGGGGACATGATAGCAACCGAAGGTGCCTCTTGCCTCGAGCTCATCCTCCCACCTCCACCCTGGGAACGTCTTAAGATCATGGCCGGGCTGCTGCATCCCTGGTTGCACAATCCTGAGTCCTTTGTCCTTTGCTTATCTGCCTTATCGAGAGGGAAAAGATAACCAGGCATCTTCAGTGCGCTGCAACTGAGTGCGTTTCTCAGGCTCATAACTCCTCTTATCGGGTTCGATCTCTCACCGCGGCAAGGTTTCCCATGCACCTTTGTACTCCAAGAATGCTCCCAGGTCTGCTTTCAGCCTTGTGCAAAGCCTTTACGATGTGTGCTTTCTCCAAAACACCTCAGCCTTAATTGCCTAATTACGGACGAGTCTCCTGTGTGTGTGGTTGCGATGACAGCTGGGTGCGGCTGCCGGGCTGGGAGAAGGGCTCTCAGCTTGCACAAGCTCTGCCAGACCCCAGCACCTCTCGGGAGGCGGCAGGAGGCTGCGGTTCCCGCTGCGGAGCCGCGGGGCGAGCGCCAGGTCCCCGCCTGAGCCAGCCAGGACAAGCACCCGGCTCCTCGCCCCAAGGCCTTGGTCTTAGTTCAGGTGACACAGAGGGACCTGAGCTGGAAACGGGGCCTGGGGGGCAGGATTTTGTGCACAAGTACCGGGCTCACCCTGGTGAGGTTGGATTACCCGATAGTGCCCCAGCACTGAAACCAGGAAGGTGCCCAGGGCTCACGTGCATGGGGACAGTTTGTTTCCAGGCAAATCAGGGCTGTGTGGTCTGGGAAAGGGGAACAGGCACAAGTTCAAAGGAGGGTTGCCCTGATCCTGCTTTGTCCCAGCTTCCCAGGCCCTGCTGTGCCCCCCGGCCCACAGTAGGGGGTCCCAGTGCTGTCCCAGTAATGCTGACCCAGGACTCCTGCATTGCAGCTGACAGAATAGGCTGTAGGGATTACAGGTCACCTGTGTCATCATCACAGTGGCCTTCTAGTATGACCCCTGCACCTCTAAGGGCCCCTCTGTGGGCAGGGGAGGGTGCACATCCCCCCTGCCCGCTGCAGGCAGCCCATGCCCTGTCCCATTTCCCTCCTACTGGGCTCAGCCCCGTGCCCCCCATGAGCAGGACCTCACAATGGGGCACACAGAGCTGCAGCTCCTGTCCCATCCCTGCCTTCTCTGGGGTCTTCAGGACAAGTCACTTTGCCCACTGCAGCCCCCCTCTTGTAATAGTTTCCATCCAGGGCTCATGTGGGCCCATCACCTGAGTGATCGCCTGTGGGTCCCCAGATACTCTTGTGCCCTTGGGGCACAAACCCCTGGTTCTGTGTCCCCTGGGGTGAAGGTACCATTGGTTTTCAGGCACCAGGATCCATGCAGTGCCCCAGGGCATGAGATGGGGTTTTGGCGTGGGTCTTCCCACCGTCTTGGTGCTGGTGTCTGGGGGCTGAAGGAAGAGGATCCCTCCCAGGCTGGCAGGGCTCCTGCTGCACCCCACTTCACGAAGCGTTGGGGCCAGCCCAGCTCTGGGGCATGTGGCAGTGGCTTGGGCACAAAGCAGGGCTGCTGCAGAGGTGACAAATGCATCTCCTGGGCTGCAGAGGTGGGATCCCTCTGCTGTGGGGGTGGCCTTGCTCAGCCCAGGGAGGAACCTGATGCAGAAATAACAGAACTGGGGTCCTGCAGCATGTCCTTTCCCCTGGACGTGGCAGCAATCACTGGGAGGTGAGCCGTGTCCATGGGTGGGAATAGCAGTGGTCTGTGCTGTTCCCATGGGGTATTAATTCCCACGGGTGAGCCAGGGGTGGGCAGGAGCTGGAGATGTGAGTGGGCAGCATGTGCAGGGGCAGGGTATGGCTACAGCTCACAGGGAGGACAAGAGGAGACAGCTCTGTGTTGAGCAGGGCTACTGGGCCAGGGACAGCACTGGAAGATGAGGACGATCCTTGCTGCCCATGTTGCTCTGCAGCACTGACACATGCGGGTGCTCGACCCCAGGGTGCTGGGGGTGCAGGACTCAGCCCCCTGTCAGGGTCTGTCATCCCCAGGGTGACCCGGGCAAGAGGGGGAGAGGTGAGCGAGAGGCAAAAGGGCTTTTTATTTTCAAGATGTTTTATAATGGGATTATTAGTTCCCAAGAGGTGTTTCGAATTGATTTGGTAAGGAATCACTTTCATTTCTCTTCCGCAAAGATGCGGTGGGAATACAGCTTTTGGTGCGAACTTTTGCAGAGCTCTGGAAACCATAGATCTTAAAAACTCCTGGCGAGCTGGAAGGACACGCTTGGCTCCCCTTGGCCCCACACACCCCACATGTGCCTTTTGCTCTGTCTCCAGCGTAACTCCGCTGTGTGCAGCATCCAGGCGAGCTGGGCTGCAACCCTGCGGGAGCAACGGCTCCCCCAGGGAGGGCTCTGACCTCAACTCAAGGGAGAAAAAAAACCTCCTTCAGAAAATCCCCCCTTTCCCCAAGGAGAGCCCTTTTTTTTCTGGGGGATCTGACCTTTTCCTGGTGCAGTTTTCACTGCTTGCCTGGCTGGCAACCTGCGTCTGGCGCCCAATGGCCTTTTCACCACAGCAGCGAGGGGAGCGCAGGCATCTTCAAAAGCCCTGGAAAGAATTTGGTGGGAGGGGGAGAAGGGGTTTTACAAGCTCCCATTCAAAAATGGTCACTTTGAAGTGATGTAGCATTTTCAACCCTTTGAAGAAGCACAATTAGGAGGGGGCTGATGCAAGCAAAAGGCAAAAATACTGGGTGACCATCACAGCCTTTCTCTCCCCAGGCTTTTAAGGGATGAACTTTTCCTCCCTGCCTGCCTTTTTCTCACGAGCCCAGGGGGGTGGGATTGGGGTGTTTGGGGGAGCTGGATGTTTCACACACCCCCATGCAGATCTGCAGTTGGCTTTGCCCACCAGCAGCACAGTAGCTGATGGAGCGTGTGGGAAGGGTGAGCAAATTGCCTGAGATTGCTGCAGGAGCATCGAGCGTCTGTGTCCTGGCACTGCCACGGCTGGGGTGCTGCAAGGTCAGGCCAGGGAATTTTTTAGGCTCCATGGTGGGGAAAGATGTTGGCCATCAGTGCTGGCTGCTGGCAGTGTCATTTCGATTACAGCTGCATCTAAAAGTCACAACCAAGGTAGATGTCCCTCCTGTCGGGGTCCTGGTGGCAGATGCAGAGGAAGGCAGATTTGTGTTCATGTGTTACAAACTGAAGAAAAACAAGTGGTGGCCCAGGTTTTTGGAGGGAGTCTGTGGTTCATGTGCTTGGAGGTACAGCCCACAGCCTGGCCTCCCCAGTGAGCCTGTCCCTGCACGCCTGAGCTGAGGCCACCCTGTGCCATTGTGTAGCACAGGGCAGAGGGAGGCAGGGACAGGGCAAGGGCAGAGCCCCTGCCTCCTGCTGTGGGGATCTGCTACCAGCAGACAGGCTCTGTTCTGGAGAAACCTCTGAGAACAGGGCTCTTCCTCCATGTCCCTGCTCCCACCAGCTCAGGGATCTTCTGAGGGCAGCCCAGGTTCTTCACCACATGCCAGAAACTGGAGAAAATGGGAAATTGAGGTCACTGGTTTTCCTCCAAGAATGGATGTTGGTGTCGCAAGCAGACACAAAGGATGAAGGAAAGGCACATCCACGAGTGGGGCTGTGAGGCATTTGCTCAGGGCACAGCGATGGTGACCCAGCTCTTGGGCAGTGGCTGGGACGGGGCTTAGGGCTGCTTCCCCTCATGGTGTGGCAGCAGACCCCAAAACCTCTGCTGCTCCTGGGCTGCGTGGTGGTCTGGGGCTGGTCTGCAAAACCACCTTAAGAACATTTCCACAGACAACATTGACCCTGAGTGTGGGTGTTTATCAGCTGGGAACGGAGAGTGACTGTGCTCCACCAGCTTGGGCTGGTCATCTCCTCTGGGGAGGTGTGGACGGTCTCAGGGAGCTCTAAGAAGCCCCCCTGAACCAGGGGCTGGTGTGAGATGAGCCTTCCACACCTCTCCCGGGCTGTGGCTTTTTCTGCTTGTGCGGTGGCAGGTCCAGGCCCTGCCAGGCGTCTGTGGGGTGGCTCTGCCAGGACAGGGTGGCCATTTCAGCGCTGTCATCAGTCTTGCTTTCCCCCACAATAATCACCAGCAAGTTCCAGGGCCTGACAGCGTTGGGATGCAGGGAAGAGCCAACTGGGAATGCTGGTGTCCCTCTCCGTCACAGCTGGCTCCTGACCAGGGTCCCTCTGATCCATGAAAGGAGCAGGCTGGACGCCCTAGACGTGCCACTGGAGCGATGCAGGATGCCTTTTGTTGTCTTAATTGATGCCTGGGCAGGACAAGTCCCCCCTCTGCCAAAAATGAGTCATCCCACAGCAATAACTGCAGCCGGTGTCCCTGGCTGCCAGGCGGCCTGGTGGATGGGAGGCAGCTCAGCCCTCTGCTTCTGCCACCCGGATCCAGCGACCCGCCGTGCCCTGCCCACGGGCGGTGAGAGCCTGCACCGAGCTGCCAAAAATGCCACGGGGTTTGTGGCACTTCATGGGAGATGGCAGCAATCCGCCTGCGCGGTGGGGCCAGGGCTCACGGGACACAGCCCCACACCGTGCCCCACCATGCCCCTTGCCCGGGTTATGTGATGGGAGGTGGATGTCATGCATGCCCCAACGCCCAGCGTCCTCGGGCAGGCCAGGAGAGTTGCATGTGTCACGAGCGGTGCAGACAGCTATTAATGGTGGGGGGTTAATTCAAGCAGCAGTGAGGGCTTCCCTTGCTGTTCACTTGCGCTGTAACGTAGCCCAGGGCAGGGAGGGCACAGCCCATCTCAGAGACCGGCCTTGCCCACCCTGCGACAGGGGTGCAAAACCATTGCACCCAGCACGGCAGCAGCACTGATGCAGTTAACCAGACTGGAAGAGCTCTCAAGGCCACAGCAGACCCCACTGCGAAGAAGCAGGACACGGCAGAGGGGCTGCAGGAGGTGCCAGGCAGCTGCTGGGGAGCAGGAGGCTGCATGGCTGCCATGCTCAGGGCAGGCAGCTGGTGGATGCTGCTAACCACCTTCTCCAAGATTCACAGGATGCTCCTGCCTGAGATTCAGGGCAGAGCCTGCGCTCCCTGCAGGGATGGCAGGCCCCTCACAAGTGTCGTTCACATGGCTGAGCACAGACTGCGCTCATCACACCAGTGGCTGGTGGTTTACCTGCTGTCTCCTCTCCCCGCAGGCTGCCTGGTGCAGTGTGAGGAGAAGCCCAGCCAGAGCTGTGGTACCACCGTGCCAGCTTGTGACACAGCCCAGCCCGGCTACACCCCGCACAGTGAGTGGCTGGAGGGGCCGGAGCAGCGTGGGGCACCTGCAGCGCTGGCAGAGGGCACGGTCCTGCAGGTCACTGCCATCCCCCCTGGGGTGCTGGACAAAGCCGAGCTCACCGACTTCTACTGCTGCACCCGCTGCGGGAAGGTGTTTTGGGAAGGGTCCCATTTTGGACGTGTCGTTTCCCAGTTTCAGGATGTTCTTGTCGATGCTGGGAATGAGCAGAGCATCTATGAGCTGAGCTGAGAGGGGCCGTGGGGGCTCCGTGGTGGGATGGGGACAGCAGAGGATGCACTGCCTGGTGAACCTCAGCAGATTTTGGGCCGTGGGTTTGCGGGGCAAGGCTGGAAGTGGGGGGCTCTCATTTTGGGGTATTCCGTGGAGGGGAGTGTCACATTTGCACTGATGATTCACGACAGCCCAAATATACATGGCCTCCGTGAGATCATTAAATCAGAGGTGGCTGGGGAATGGACTCTTTGCCTTATTTTTGACTCCCTCCAGGCTGGGCATGGCAAGAGGGTGGCAGAGCTCTCCAAAACGCCGCCCAGGCAGTGCCAACCAACCCCATGGCACACAACAGGCCCCAGCACCCTTGCCCCAGTGCCCCTGTGCTGGGTCACTCGTGTTGGGGAGCCAGGACCTGCATCCCCAACAGCAGCCCAGGGGAGAGAGCACCTCCAGTGCCCAGAGCACTCCCCAGCCTGTGGGACGTGTCACGCCACGACCCGTCCTCAGCATTCCCTCTCACCCTGGTCCTGATCTCCCAGCACCTCTCCCGGCATTCCCCAGAGGCAGTGGGTGGGTTCAGTCATGGAGGTCCAGAGGGCTGAGCGCTGCTAAGTGGCCACAGGAAAACCTCTGGGTGCACCACGATGCCTGCTAGCACCCACATCACCCTGTGCTGGAGCCAGAGATGCCCCAGCAGAGCCAGACTGGTCCAGGGAGTGGCTCCCACTGGTGCCTAAGCTGCCTGCCAGCCCAGCGGGCGAGCAGCACCCGCCTGCCCACCTCCTCCCAGATGGGTCCATCAAGCCGCTCCCCCGTGACCGAGGCCCTGTGAGTTGTGCACAGGAGTGGCAATGAAGTGTGTGGTCCCACCATCACCATGAACCAGGGTCACTGGTGGGACTAGCCAGCCTCCAGGGGAGGCTACACAGGCTGGGGGGGGGGGCCAGGCGAGGCGAGGAGCCCGGCCCTGTTGGTCCTGTAGCTCGGGGCGCTGCCATCCAGTGCCTCCTGATCCAGGGACAGGCTTAAACTGCTCCACCCTGCAACTGAGGAGCATTTGCAGAATTCCTCCTCTAATCCCAGTTAACTGCCAGGCCCTGATGTTATTGCTAAGAGGGCCCAAGGGGCTCTTGGCTGAAGTGTGACATTTATAGGCCAGCAAAGTGCCTGCCCAGGCATCTTACACTGCAATGCAAGACGTGCTTTCCCTCTCCAAGCACTCCTGGCAATGCAGTGCCAGGGGTCCTTCCCCTCAAGGGACATCTCACTCCCAGCTCAGCCCTTTGGCAGAAAAACCCCAAAAACATTTTCCACTTTAAACATCCCTCTTGACACGAGCTTCTTCCTGGGCGTCAGTACAAGTGACCCTAAATGGTGGCTGTCCCCACACCGTGCCTGCCTTCTTTCCCCAGCCAACTGCCTGCCAAGTTATGGCCATGGGCACGACCCCCTGGTGACACTTTCCATGGTCACATCATGCCATTTTTTCCTGATTTCCATCAGAAGATGGCAAAGGACCCCTGTGCCCACCCCTCTGTCCCTATCTCCCTCACAGCCCTGCCAGGGCCACCCATCACCTCTCATTTGCTGCCTGTGGAGCCCCATTTTTTTCAAGTGGAAGCAGCAAATAATGGCACCTCCTTCACTAGCAATGAATGAAGTTGTGGCAGAAGCCAGCAGCACCACGACGGTGGGGCTGTCACTACAGCAGCATGCACCACTGGCCCTGCATGTGCTTAAAGGTAAGGACCTATTTTGGCAGGGCAAAGATGCTGACCCTGTCCCCGTCACATCAGGACACGCAAGGGTGTGAGTCTGACTGGCCAGAAGCAGCTACTAGGATCTGTGTTTCCCAGGGGGTTTGGGGTCATTATTTTTCTCTTCTTCCCTGATCTTGACTTGGTAGAATTTGGAGAAGAAGCCTCCTCCATGGCTCAGCATCACTGTCACCATCACAGCAGTGTCTGCCAGACCATGCTCATGCACCAGAAAGATCCTCAGCCCTGGACACTGCTCTGCTTGCAGAACAATGGACGTGCTGCAGTGCAGTAGTTGCTATTTTGATGCTAGCTGCTGCAGATTGGCCCTAAATCCACTTTTTCTCTCCTCCTAATCTGGTTTTGGGGGTTGCAAAGCAAAGCATCACTGATGATGCCCCAGTCAGAGATGTCCATGCCCGGCACAGTGCAGCCCCTACGCAGGGAGGACTCAGTGGCCACATCTCCTGCTGCTGAGGCATTGGCTACGTGGAGATGCCGAGTTTGGGGGGATTTCCCTGGGGCATTGCTGCATCACTGCCTCTCCTCTCCTCCACTGCCCAGGGTAGAGGGCTGGCAGGTTCTGTGCTTCCCACAGAGTCACAGCCAGGGATGGTCACGGTGGTCCTCTCTAATCCCCTTTCCCCAGGGTGGGCTTTTGCTCTGGGGAGCCCCTGCAGCCCAGCCGTACCATGGCACTGCCCAGCTTCCCCCGGGCTGGTGGCCATTCGCCCTCCCAGGCCGGTGGGTGCAAGGCACTGGGGCTCACCAACCAAAAAGGGTCTGTTTGAACAAAAATTTCCCATCACTTTCATCACCTCCTTCTGCATCTCTCTTGGCTTTCCCTGGAGATGACTGCTTCTTCCAGAGATGGGCAGAAGAAAAAGATGGATTTTCCCACTTGGCTGGAGGCTCCCGGGGCCAACACACTTTCCTGCACACACATTGACACCTCCAGCCATGGAGATTATTTCTCCTAATGGGATTAAAATGCCTTGTGCTGATCTCATCCTTGGTAGTCATCATTTTTCTATCAGTTCTTTCTGTTGTCTCCTCAGTTGTCTACATTTTTTGCATATAGCCTGAAGGAATTGTGTTTCATGTCCTGGTTTTCCAACCCTGTGCTCTCTCTAGATGTTAATGTATTTTTCTTAATTCCCTCTTTATCTAAAAGGGGAATGTCCTCTTTGCTTTTACCCCCATGTCATTTTTATCATGCTTCTGGTGCAACAGTTTGGGGACCAGGTGATGACATCAGAGGATAAAATGTGTTCTGCTAAACTGGCATTGTTAAATGTACCTGGCCTGGTGTGCTGACAATTGCTTGTAGGGCTTCTGGTGCTGGAAAACTGGTACATGGAGGGACCAAATATCCATTTTGTGGGTGATGATACAGTCAATTGGAGACACAGACCCTGATTTTACGTGTTCTGGGCCAACTTCCCTGTATTTGGGCCATAATTACCTTGTCCTGGGCCATCAAGATGAGCTCCAGTATTGAATCCTGTGTCGGTACAGGGCTTTAGCAGTAGGAGATGGCACCCGTGTTAACAGATTCTCTGCCTCTACAACATGGATATATGCTTAAAAATTGTTCCCTGTTCCCAGTGGCAGTGTCAGAAGCAAACGCCTTCCTTCTGAGCAGCTGAGGTTCCTTGGGCCTGAGTCGTATCTGGCGCTGTGACAAGACCTTGCTTGGACATGGGCATGCTTGGATGGAGATACTTCCAGTGTGCCAGCTGTAGTCTCAGCACTACAGACTCTGGCATGTCTTCTTATCCATCAGTGCCATCAGCTTTGAAGATGTCCATCCCTCCATCCCTGCCCATCCCAGCTCATGGCCAGGAAGGTTGCCTGAGGCTGTCAGTACAGTTTTCTCCCTTGAGCCCTTCCCAGAGACCTCAGGGGTCTGGACTGGGTGGCAGGAGACCTGCGGGAAGGGGCACATGGGATTCCTGCTGAGGGACCCTCAGCACCCACCCAGGACACCCTCCGCCCTGTGGCTGCAGGGTGCTGCATCTGGCCCCTTGAGTATGTCCTGCCACTCGCAGCCTTGGGCTGGTGCTCTGGCTCTGGGGGGTTTCCCACTGTCCCTGTGTGTCCAGGTGACCTGCTCGATGCCTGGAACCACATGTCCTTACGTTCACCCACCTCTGGTGCCAGCACCCTCGATACTCTGCAAAACAATCATCAGCTCCTCCAGCCCATGAGCCACCTCCTCCATGAGCACTTCTGGCTTGTGCCTTGCCATGTCCTTGTGGGCAACCAGAGCCCGGCTCGCCTGGAGCAGCACAGCGTGGGGGACCCTAAAGAGAGTCCTTCGAGCAGAGGGAGGATGAGGCACGTGCTGTGCCAGCAGCCCCTCTACACCAACCACTGGTGGAGGGTACTGGTGGGGCTACCCCAGCCAGCGAGCGTGGGACTGTCGGTGCCAGAGGCTGAGCAGCCCGAGCCCCCCAGGTTCCACACAGACTCATCCATGTGTCAGCATCCTGCCACTTTGGGGTTTGCTCTGGGACGGCAGAAACTGGGGATGAAGCAAAGCAGGAATGCTGCAGAGCCTCCTACTGCCAGCCCCCGCGGTGAGCGATGCTTCATCGTGATGAGACAAACCTCTCCAGACCCTGTTTGAGGGAAGCTTCTGAGTCACACGAACATCTGAGTCATCCCAGCCCCAGCCAGGAGCGGGGAGGTCAGGGCTGCTGCCCTGAGCCCCCCAAACAACCTTTCCAGCCAGCCTGTGGGCATTTCTGGGCTTTGCTCACTGGGTTTTTCAGAGCTGTGGTTTCACATCAGTCTGCTACTGCTTTCACTGTGGAGGGGAGCTGGCAGGGGGGACAGTGGGGCATGCTGACCCTGTCCCTAGCCATGGGGACAGCTCCTGGCCACACATCTGCCTGCATGGGACCCTTCCCTCTGATCCCTGGGGACAGCAGGGTCACCTCCTGGCCACCTCTAGGACTTTACCTCTCTGCCATCTCTGCCAATCTGGTGGCGAGGTCTTGTGCTTACGGCCTGGGCTGCTAGCAGTCAGCTGTGCTGGGGCAGTCCCACCACAGTGGGACTTGTTTTAAGAGAAGACCAACCCAGGGCAGACACCAGCAGGTTGTGTGTATGTGGGGGCATGGCAAAAAAAAAAGCTCCCAAAGGGTGTCATCCAGCTCCTGGGGAGGGGGGCAGCAGCTGAGACCCAGCACAGCACCTCTCCCTTTCTGCTGCCCACAGGGGGTGATATCAAGGTGGGATCTGTGCAGCAAGGTCATCTCCAGTCATAGACACAATCAACATCAAACTCCACGTCAGACCAGCCTTGAGCAGAATCCAGGAAGTAATAAATTGTCCAGTTTTGAATAGTGGATATAGATCAAAGGGAATTAAACCAGCTTTTTAATCAACCTACAATATTGTTTCTCTATCTGACTGCTTAAAAAAAAAAAAAAAATCCCATTGTCTGCGTTATACTAATATTTAACATTTATTAGG